ATGAACTAAGGCGCTCGGGCATCAATAAAGTTAACTGGCGAACGTTCGTTATATATATTTTTATTGCTTAAATTAAAATAATAAAGAATAGGGCATTTTATTATGATATTTGTAATCGGAGCAAAGGCTTGTTTACGCTACGAGAGCCCGAGATAGACTGAATAATGGATGTAATGTTTTTAGGACGTAGAATAATTTAGGCGATGGTCGGAATTATGCTTCTGCGCATATGAAGGTCAAAGCTCATAAGATTTTGAAACAACTCTACTATCACTCTTACACTGGGGGATTTGTTACCGCTTTGTTTTTCAATGCAAATATTTAATACAATCTCTAAAAATATAATCTAAAATGACAAAGATCTTAATATAATTTTATAGGCTGTTCGAGTATTATTTTGGGGACACAATTTTCTAAATTTAGGTCAGGTTTAATGACAAATATTTTGTTGTCTATAAACATATATAAACATATTCAGGGAAGTCTAAAATTATTATACTTACATTCCGGAAATAATAATACGGCTACAAAATATAATTTATAACAAATAATAAAGGTATTGTCTATAGAAAAAAAAAAAATACTATACTTTTTACCTGTTCGAATCTACATCAAGAAAACTTTGTATATTTATATTTGTGCGACATTTTAACAATTCAGATTTTTGTAAATTAGATCCTTGAATAAACCGTAACGTGAAGTATTTTAAAATAGATTTTTTTATGATATTGATACATAATTCATGGTTTGCCTGCCTGATTTATCAATAAAACATTTTGAGAGCGCGAAAAAAATTACACTTTATTAAAAGCTATTGAGAGGTCATTGGGGTTAAACGCACATACGTCACTGTTTAAATAAAAAATGAATCGGTTACCAGGAGATATACAATTTGTAAACACTTTTTCACGTACGATAAGTTGTTTTCTTTAATTTCACACTTTCTTGTTCTCTGAATTGCTGGGAAAAATAATAATCATCAATCATCAACAAGTTGTTGGGATTAACTAATATTATTTGCCACTTTTTTTATATTATACCTAAAGCTGTCGATTGCCAATAACGTCCGTCACTATTTTGGAAGGTGTAACATGCACACTTTAATACTAACACAATAAGGAAGTAAGCAACAAATGCCGTGTCGTGTAGATGGTGCATATCAATACATTAGAAAGCATGTCTGCACTTGCCAAATATTCATCAACGCTATGCAAACGTCACTCCTACGAAATATCTATTTCCACCTGAAGAGAATTCGTAATTGGAAAGGTATTTGATCGAGTATTTGATACATATCTGGATGGTTGCCCAAAAAATTAATGATTGAGTTAAAAACTACTAGAAAACAAGTACAGAAAAATAAAAACAAATACGATTGTTTGTATTTAACTGTTTTAGAAAACCGGAAAGACAGGTTCCAGTTTTTAATTTTCTTTACTGGGCTCTAAAATATGTTGTAGCCGAAAGTCGGTTCCGTGTGTTGTTCTAATTCCATGCTAGACGTTAGAAAGAAGGCAGAAATTGATATTTCAGATTTCATATACAGTTAAATCTCCCTTGGGCGGACACCAACGGGACCGACTGAAAGTGTCCCTTCGGTGTCCGCCTAAAAGAAATTCGAAAAAAAAATCGTTTTTTTTTTTAATGAAAACTGTAATTATAGAAATTGGGACATTAAAAACGTATATGTATGTAAATGTTTTTAAAATAAACAAAAAATTTAAAACTTAGGGAAAAAATAAGGATTTGTTACCTTACAAAATACATACAAAATATAATAGAATATAGTAATACATAAAATGAAATTAAATGTTACTTTAATGACGCAAAAATTCATATATTGGTGTTTGTATCCTCTTTTTCTTTAAAATGGCCTCCAGAAATCGTATTTCTAATTTAGGAAAGAAGCTTGAAAGACTGTGTGATCTTCGGCAAAATGGTTAAGCTGATTG